TCTGAGAATCAAGAGAAGTGAGGGGTTATTTATTCTCATCCCCAGCCCCTTTGAAGATTTTGCCAAAAAAACACAACTTTCCTTCATGTGGGAACTACAGAAACTGAGAAGACACTTATTTTAGGTTGCTACAGGCATGCAGATTATGGACCAAATCATGGGGGCACACAATTTTGTGACAATTTAAATGACCACAGAGCTATTTACGGGCCTGCCTTATAGTATGGAGAAATCTGCTTGGGAAGGGACAGCTTCTCCTCTGTAAACAGAAGCACCAAGCCTAACAGGTTCTGGTCTAGTTGTCACTCCTCACCAAAAAAAAAAGATCTTTTCCCTGTATCCCAGGAATACCTATAACTCAGCTTTGGGGATGGGAGAAGGGCATGTCTTCTTCAGAATGAAACAGCCCTCACAGAGGTCCATCTTTACAGGAGGGAGCAAGTCCTGCATTAGCAAAGTCTGAAACTGGGCCGGGTTTATTGGCTCCTAGCCACACGGAGGGTCAAAGTTGTGGCAGCAGCTTAGTTTGGATCTGGGCCAGGTTGTCGTGCCTGTACACTACCATAATGTGGGCGAATTATTTTAAAGGGAGAAATGGACGCTGCTTTCCTTACAGAAAAAAGGGAGGGGGGCAGTAAAGAGAGAGCAGGAGGGGAGAAGGGATGTGACTCTCCCTAGAGAGGAGCAAGCCAAGGGAGAAAAATAAGAAGCCCTGCTAAGGGAATGGAGGGCTTATTCTAAATCTGTACTGGTTAATAATAATTAAAAAAAAAAAAAAAAAAAAAGGCAGGGTTTTAAAAGGGCAGTTCCCTGTCTGGCCTGGATCCTACCAGCCAGGCAAGCTTGTTTGACTTATGCTGCCTCCTTCCTCCAGCTTCTTCCCAAGCCCCACATGCATGCATGGCCCCTTTAAGGTAACCCTTTGTGTCCTCCAGCTTCCCACCTCAACTTAAGGAGCCCCATAGCCAGTTAACCCCTCGGTGCCCAGGCCCCCTCCTCCTCCCTCTGCCCATCTCAGCCCTATAGCAACAGAATCTCACTTCAGGCACCAACTGGATCTCTCCTTTGCCCCCTTCCCAGAGGCAGGGGCAGGAGGCGGGGCCGTGTATTAACCTCTTGGCTTCCCCAGCTCTGTGACAGCCCCCAATCCCCTTTGTGCCATCACCTTGGCACCTACCAACTCCTCCCTTGCTGCCTCCCCTTCCCCTGGTGGCCTTCTCAGCTTGATGAACTCCCCCGCCTCCCCTTCCCATTAACCTCTTCCTTCCCTGCCCCCCTTCACCTATTAACCCTGCAGATCCCACCCTCCCCAACCCATTAACCCTTGGGGGCTGTGCCCTGTTGTCTGCCTGCCCGCCCCCAGCCCACTACTCCTTTAACCTTGAAGGCACTGATGCTTTTAACCCTTTGTGTATGTCCCTGTACCCCCCTTGGCCTTGAGCCTCCCTGCTTTTAACTCCTTGTGTGCCATCTCCTCATGCCCCCCCATGCTTTTAACTCCTTGGGTGCCATTTCTCTCTCAGCCTTGAGCCCCCTCCCACACACATGCTTTTAACCCCTTGTGTGCCATGTCCTCCTGCCCCTCCAAGCTTTTAACTCCTTGGGTGCCATTTCCCTTTCAGCCTTGAGTCCTCCCCCCACACACATGCTTTTAACCCCTCACCCCCCACACAGAGGCCTTTAAATCCTTGGGTGCCATTTCCCTTAAGCCTTGATTCCCACCCCCCCCACATATACAGGCTTTAACCCTGTGTGTACTGTGTCCATCTCGACCTGGAGACCCCCCAGGCCCTTAACCCCTTGCATGCCATGTCATATCCCTCTTGGCCTTGTGCCCCCCCACACCCAGCTTTTAACCCCTGACGTACCGTGTCCCTCTCGGCCTTGAGCTCCTCGATCTCCTTCTCCTTGGCCTGCAGCTGCTGCTGCTGCTGCTCGATGAGGTCGAGCTGAAGCAGGAGGATCTGCTTGAGGCAGGCGGCCTGGCCCGAGCCCCCGCCGGCGCCCATGGCGCTCTTCCGCGCGCTGCTCTTCCACTTGCCGTCCGAGG